ACTTGTGGAGGGCTTCATGCCACCGTGGTTGGTAAGGATGATGATGATGATGAAAATGTGCATATTCCATTGCTGGCACAGTGCCAACGAAGATGAGTGCCGGGGGGCCAATGAAGATGCTCGTTTGCGTTTGGAGACATTGACTTACAGTGTATTTGAAGCTTTGAAGAGAAGTTGCGCCTATGAGTTGCACTTCAGCGCTAGGTGAACGTAATTTGGGTTTTCGTGCCAAAATGGAAATTTCACCCCCAAAAGCATCGTGGGTTCCTTATTGGGCGACAGAGCTGCCAATGAGCCCAGTGAAGGTCACACTGGGTGGCCCATCGAATTCCATGCGTGGCATTTACGCACATGCAGTCCCTCCGAGACGATGTTGAGCCATATCTTGTCTACTTGTGGATTAGACACTCTGACCAACTATAGCTCTTTTGAGTAAACCGTGGCATGCACATTTGTATTTTCCATTCCCTTACAATTCCATTTGTGTATATGGTAATAATAATGATGATTTAGAACGTTCTAATGCACTCCTTGATGAAAGACTTTGTACATCGTGTTGGTCATAGGGGTATTTTTTTTACCATACTTCGCTATGCTGGTCAATGCATGTTGGTAAAGTGAGGACAGCCAAACGTGGTTCAGACGTAAACTCACCTCTGATGTTAGCTGTGGTGGGGTGTCAAACTCAGGTATCAGATTCATAAAGCACTGCACTAACTACCATCCCACCGTTCTTCCGTTTGTATATAACGAATACCAAAATGCTCATGTGCAGGCGCTAGATGGATTGTTGCATCATGATACCGTGAGGGATGGCAGTGACTTGTGGAGGTCTTCACCCAGCAGTGGACAGGTTAAAGCAGATAATGGCAATGATGAAACCAGAATTAACGCGTTCATGTATGTATGTATGTTGAACTTCTTTCACACCGTATGTGACCAACCGTGCTAATCAGATGTACTGGGAAAGGAAAACAAACGACACACAAAAATAAGTTCATAAAGGCTTCATAAATCCTGGGCATATCAATATTTGTATATATAAAAAGGCAATTCATCCTGTAGAGAGTAGTAAAATGAAGATGTCAAAAATATATCTGCAAGCCTGGCACATTCCTATCATCTCACCAAAATAGATTTCGACCTTGAATGCGGTTTGAAAGCCACGCAGACAAATACGCGTGCACGTGCGCGTGTCTGGCACGAGAAACGATGTCGCTCCTCGAAAGAAAAAACAGCCGTCGTGGTAATTGGTTTTTTACTCTTTTATCTGGCAACAAAACTGACACCTTTTTTACGAGGAGTCATGTTTGCATAAACCACAATACCTGCAGTCTTAATGCAATCAAAACACAACTCTGATAATGTAGCACTGTCCTTGAAGTTGATTGATCCACACCCGAGACAGCTTTCCTTAGAGCCGAGTCTCACATGGGTTGGACCAGATGACGCCAAAAGGCGCACAACTCAAAGACAATGCACCATCAGAGTATGAGAGCTCATTGTCTTTGAGTTGTGCGCCTTTTGTTGCCAGATAAAAGAGTAAAAAAAACAATTACCATATATATATATTTTTTTACTGGCAAATGAGGTACCAATGTTGTTAAACGTCGTGGTGTTTCCAACCACAGTGGATGGTGTCGAGCCACGGTCATGCCGGTGCTGAATAACGGCGCACTTACAGCAGGCATGGGCGGAAGGTGAGAGTTGTGAGTCACTTGCCATAGTGGGCAGAGAGAAATGCAAGCGTGGCTATAAGGAGTGGTGGCTGTCTTAAATGGGGGGGGGGGGGGGCTTGTCTTTCAGAGGTGTCAGAGAAGTTACATGGCAGTGACACTCTAATATGCATTTGGATGGATCTGGGACATGAGTGCGCGGTTGACCTTTGCCTGCAGTCACATTTCTAGAAATTCCTGTTCGCTGGCATGTTGTACGTAAGTCGATCCGTCAATCAGCTATTTTATTTCTGCTTGATTCAAGTGTTGGCTCATTCCTCATTGGATTAAATCTCAGTTTGATATGTTAATAATTGGAGTGGAACTATGGTGCAATGGTGTAGCGTATTGCGCTATGAGCCCGGCGGCCTGAGTTAAATTCCTGACCGTCGTTTCAATCGAGTGGTGAGGGATGTCGGATCTATTGTTCTCGTCACCACTAACCCCACATTTGCCAGTGAGGTCAAACAACGTTCACGACCAACAAGGTGTATGAAGGTCTTCACCCACATCAGTTAATTGACAAAGGTCTCCACATTAAACGGTGCTGTTTATAATTGTAGCCAGAACGTGATTATTATATAGTTCATCAAATTGTTCAGTGATACTACATGGGCAGTGGCGCACAAGCGACAACAACCTCAACATATTTTATAAAAGAGGTTTTTTTTGGGTTATATCGCGTAAATATATAAATGTGTCGTTCAAACCCGCCACCACCCGACACAGCCAACTAGTAAGGGTTGTCACGCAAACAGAACGTGCCAATTCGTCACTAGCACAACACATCGGTGTGTTGGAGAGCCAAGCCACAACATTTACATTTATATATTTACACGATCTAACGAAAACAAGTCTATTATGGATGATATTGGTCGCGAAAGCCTACGTGTTAAACTCAACATATTTTGTCAACAACACTGTGGTCTCAAAACAATACGAAAAATATATAATAGGTGAGAAGCAATGACGCTTCTTTATAGTTAACATGTGGGATAGTAGTCATATTTCAAAGCCTTAAAAGACATTGTTTTAACGTTCATTTGGAACATACAACTTGCATTTTATTTTAGCTGCTTTGAATAACCGGAATGTGGCAATTTTTGGGTCGCGGCATCTGCGAATTCTCATACATGTGGTAAGAATGCCATAAAAGTTATCTTTTCCCCCTATAGTTCATTTAACAGCTTTATATAACACTCTGTGTTGATAACATTCTTATCTGCGGATTATTGGCCAATACTGTAATTCACATATGGTTTTTCTTCAGAGTTTGTTTTGGGTTTCTCCCACGTATTGTTCTCGTTGTTTGGAAATTTGATGGGCTGACTTCTACACCACTATTCTCTTTTACAAAATGAACGACACTGAAATGTAATGAGCGTCATTGGTATGTCACCGAGAATTATTGCAGAAAAGCAAGATAAAATTACGCACCGGTAGTCATTGTACACACTGCTAGGGAGAAGGACTAAAAGACATACGTTTAAAATTCAGGCGATGAAAGCTGTCCAGGTAGCTCAGAGGTCAGAGTGCTGACGAGGCGCCGTTGAGATCCTGGGTTCAAATGCAAGTGTCACTTGCATGTAAATGGATTCCTGGGACCTTTCTTGACAATTCATTGATTCATCTTCTTGGTTCCTTCGGTAAAGTCACGTAGAAGAGAAATAATAAAATAATAAAAATAAAACACAATAAAATATTATGTTTTATTTTACACAATAAAATATAATGTTTTCTTTTTATTATTTTATTATTTCCCTTCTACGTGACTTTACCGAAAGAACCAAGAAGATGAATCCCTGCAGTCACGAAAGCTTTAAATCGAAATTTAATTCATTGATTACCAGAGCATTGTTTTGATTGCATGTTCACCACAAGGATGTGTGGTTAATGCAGACATGAGTCTTTGCAAAATTATTCTATACTCTTTGGTTCTTTCGGTAAAGTCACGGAGGTATAAAATAAAATAAATCACGACGTTTCGGGCGCAACACAAGCGTCCATCATCAAGTGGGAAAGCATGGTCTGCTGCTGAGGCAGAATGTTTCGAAAGGTTTGAAATGGGAGTAGCTCAAGGGTTATAAGAAGTGGCCAGGGCTAGTGATGTTAATGTGAGAAATTAGCATGATGTTAATTTATCACACATTAACATAGCCACTTCCGTGCCCTCGTCTAGGAGGCCGCTCTCCCAACTTACTTTTACATGATAATTTCTCACATTAACATCATGCTAATCGCTCACATTAACATAGCCACTTCCATGCCCTCGTCCAGGAGGTCGCTTTCCTCCTATCTTACAGTTACATGCTAATTTCTCACATTAACATCACTAGCCCACGGCCACTTCTTTATGACCCTTGAGCTACACCCATTTCAAACCTTTTAAACAGTCTGCCTCAGACCATGCTTTCCCACCTGATGATGGACGCTTGTTGTGCGCCCGAAACGTCGTGATTTATTTTATTGTATACCTACGTGACTTTACCGAAAGAACCAAAGAGTATGGATTCCTGCAGTCACGAAAGCTTCAAATCAAAATTATTCTGTTTGGTGTTTTAACATTTTAACACCTGTTTTTATTGCCAGATAGGGTAAGACCTATTCTTATACATAAATGTGTCATTAAACCCGCCACACCCGACACAGCCAATTAATAAGGTTTGTCACGTTAACTACTACTAGTACAGCACACCGGTGTGTTGGAGAGCAAAGCCACAGAATTTACAATCTGAGCACGACGTTTCGCTAGTAATTGCAACTAGCTTCATCAGGCGACAGCCAGATTTGTGGATAAATCCTCCTGTTTACTTCCTTAAATAGATGGGTAGATGTGATGACGTCACTTGTGAGCACTTCTTGCGCGAAGGGGCGGGGGGGATTAACGATGCATATAAATGACGATGGGTTATTTATTTAAATACAATTTTCTTTTAATATATATAAATGAGTTATTACAAATTTTACACTTCGTTAAATATATATTTTTTATTTAAAGCTGTGTTATACATAAGGTATTTTTGTTGTGTCAATGTCAACTTCATGTTGGTGTTCACGTATGTCTCTGCATTGACACACAAGACAGATTGGTTCAAGTGTCAGAGTGAGATGGATTGTGGCACCGCGGGACCATGAAGGATGGCAATGGCTTAAGAATGGCTTCATCTGACAGTGGATAGACCATGGCTCATGATGATGATGATGATGAAAATGATTACGAAGTTTTTGTTACAAATTATGAGAGGTCCTGTGAACAGTTTTATAAAGACAGGCAAGACTCCAGCGTTCCATATTGTTTTCATTTATTGTGGACATTAATGAGCCTTAAAGAAATGTGCAAACATAGCAAGCGGAACAGAATCATAATAGAGCATCTGTTTGGGCCACTGTGTTAACCTGCAACCATCTCAACAAAAGAGATAGACATTTCTCGTCGTACGTTCACTCTCATTCCTCTGCTAATAGTGCCACTTCATCACAGCATTCTGCACAAGGTGCATCGTCCACATCGTGAGGAACGTTTGGGTCGTACGCTTTGAATGTTTAGTGGTTTCATTCCCTCACGGTGATTCTATGACCGTCACGTTTCGGACATTGACTTCGAATCGATCAAATGTGGCTGTGATTTGATTCGAGAACCGATTACTTTTGCCTCATTTTCACTAAGTTATTTATATTGTTTCTCACTTTTTTCAGTCCGTTTGTACAGTTGTGTGCCATTATCCTAAATGTAACATGAACATTCTATTTTGCACATCATTTATGGTTCTCACATGCATGATTGAGAAACGTATCTTGGAACATAAGTATGTATTTTAATCCATGAATTACCACATTGTCATCACAATATTGAGTAGCAACTGCCATATCTGCATCTCATAAAACACAAGTCATTAATGCATGCCAAGCTTTAACATTCGACAAGAAAGAAAGAAAATAATCCCGCAATGCTCTGTAAATCTTACGCACATTTCAGCATGCGTTCACCTTCATTTTAGTTTGCTGGCTGCTGTTGACATCAGCAAGCTGTATTATCCCAAACACAGTTTTGGGCAGTAAGAATTATTCACTCTGCACACATGTGCATGGGCGGCTTCTTCCCTTTTGCATCATAATTAGGTCTGCATTATTGTCGCCAGAAATTTTAGTGTTTTGTTTTACTGGTACTTGTTAAATCGTATCCAAATGCAAGTTGGACAATTCGTATTGCTCTGCGGTTTACACCTATACCTATTTAACATTTCGCAGTCAGTTCAAATAAATATTTGTGGTGACATTACCGACCGTCAAAAACCTTGAATCATGATGTAATACTTAAGCCAGTTATATATATAGCTTCACTTACTTTCTAGACTTTTATCCAATAGGGTTCAAATTGCAATGTTTGCCCAGTTCCATAATAACGAGTGTTTGGTATATCGGAGGATACCCCACCATGTTTACACACACCACTTCCAATTCCTGCTCATCTCACCTACAACATCTGACCCATTCAAGTACGAATCAGGCTCATAGCCCGCTTAGCCTCTGAAATATGATGAGATCAGGTGCATATGGGGTGATTAAATCATGGGCATCATAGCGAAATACAATAATAATTAATCTAAAAACTACAACGACTTCTCCTTAAAGTTAAATGGAGGGTGTCAATACATTTAAATGGGTTTAGCTTTATAGACAAAATTATTAGTCGACATTTTTTTTTTCGCGTAACGCGGTTGCTTTTTAATGGACAGGGCATGGAATAGGGCATGTCTGTCTACAGCAAAAAAACTATTCACAATAATTGAGAGCATAGCCTTGCAGCGAGCTTCATACCCGTGAGACAGCATTGCGTCCCTGCAACCTCAGCAGCCACATTCCTGTCACGGGCTGTTTCTTGGAAATGTAGCTCATGTTCTGATTTAGAAATGTGTCAGCTAAGATCACGAGGGTGCAGACCACTCACGCTCATAATTTCAACGTGAACAAGCCCCATGCATGCCCCTATGGAATGGGCATGATGAGTTTGTATTTTTGTATCATAGGCACAGGATCATCGTAATGCACAAGATCATTGTAATCCACACTTTAGTCTCAAAAGCTCCGATCGCCACGTGCATCAAGCTCGCCACAGTATGCAGAATGCAAGCGAGAAATGCGTGTGGATTTTGGTTATCTTGCCATGATTCAATTTTTTGTTTATTCTGGATATAGCAGTGCCCATATATTGCAGATGACCATACAAAATATCGTGCCTAAAATATAAGTAGCCATCAGCATGAAGCTTAACAGAAGCGTGTGAAATGCCATTATCTGATAAAAGGAAGAGCAAAATGAGGAGGAGACACATACTTGCAAGCCGGATGGATTAACCTTGGATAAATGTTGAATCTAATGATTCCCACTATATGTGCAGAAAACTAAGTTATATAGCTCAACCCCCATGTGGCTCATCACATTATTTTAGCATAGTTTCATTTGCAATCAATTCCAGTTAATGATGAGTTTATTATAAATAAAATAGCAAATATACTTACGTTAAACTTACACGTTTAGATTGTTTTTTTACTTCTGCTTTCTCGGATATATTTCGATAAATGTTTATAAATAAGTAAAAAAAAAGAATTATCTTTGATAATATCTTATTCTGCACAGAGCACCATTGTATGTGACAATCACAATTTCCAGAAATCCCCTTGAGCTACACAGGGCCCAGTTACCTCTTTTCCACTACACAACCGAACTACACTGGGGGGGCCATGCCGAGCTAGCCCGACACGGCTCCGGAGGGACCAGGTTGGTTTTTTTTCCACTGCAAAATTCGACCCGTGCCACGATGACACTCTGTGATGAGTCGTATTTAGTGACGTGAGCATTCTTAGCCCTGGCCCCCTTTGCTACAGGCCAGATAGAGATATCTTTGTGAGGCCAGTGTAGCAAGAATGGCTGTGGCTAAGTATGGCAAATAGCCAGTGGAAAATCACCTACACTGCGAGGCTCCATGCTGGCTTGGCTCGGACGTGCTAGTGGAAAAGGGGTATATCCGTGACAGCTCCACCCTATAGACACGACGATCCCACATACGTATGTATATTGAAATTATTTCGCACCGTACGTAGCCAACCGTGCTAAAATCCAGCTGACGACCCCGCCATGAGTATGACTTGACACCCAAGAGCAACATAATTAGCATTATGATCACATCACCATGAAAGCCATCGACACAAAACAAATGCAGTCGTCCCTTCCCCAATGTGTGTGTTGGCTCGTAGTACCACGTGCCCAGCCCGAACACACGTGGGAGAGTTTTACGGCACAAAACCCGCAACAACAACTAAACTTCCAGCGATAGTGTCCGTCTGCGTCCGTTAATTGGCACAGGTGAGGCACACACGAAGCGCCAGTTTTGTTCTTCACGTGTTCTCATCAGGCCACTACAATTGGTTTAATTGTGAACTGTATTATATATTAAGAAAATATTGTAAAAAAATATGTATATTTCATCATTTTTGGTTCAAACCCGTGAAATGCAAAATGTGCGCCAGATGGCTGTGCAACCCACCTAAATTCATCGCAATGGTTAATTCTTTGTAACCATCTTACTCGATGACGTCAGTGGTGCAATTAGCAATTAGTGTGAGGTTTGTGCTTGGCTCGTGTCGGTCAGAAGACAGAATGTAGCCATGTAACAGACCGTGGTGGTAACTGTGTACAGATTTGATAACCTGAGCGATGCAGTAGTGTGTGTGTGTGTGCGTGTCAAACGAAACGTGACAGTTTCTGTGCTGCAAGCTACACACGTGGCACTAGCCCTTTTTGTGAGAGGGCCTCGTAAGACTTCGGACGCGAAAGAGAAAAATCTGTTGGGGTTGTTTTCCTTCTCCCGCCGCCCTTGTGGCGCTTAATGTCCATTTGCGAATGAGCCGAGACCGCCTGAGTTCACGAATCGCGATTGCACGCGGCTTCAGGCGAACGTGTTATCGCCTCCAGTCGAGTTGGCAACCGAGCATTTCTTTTCTCTGTAAAATGAAAACATGACACGTATTAAATACAGATTCATATATTTTTTTTGTTATCAGAATATCTTTATTTATCGTGGAGAAATCCGATTAGCTGTGAAGCTCTTTTTCATAGATGTCCAGTGGTTTTTCACATGTGTCCAGTGGACATATACATACATGCAGTGCATGAGGGTCAGCTTCAAAAAGCAATTTCCTCAGAGGTCAAAACCGGTTGAATCAACAAATGCTGCTTGGTAATATTTGTCTGAAAAGCCAGCAATATTGTTTGTATTTTGTTACGTGGATAACACGGACAGCACAGACAAAATATAATGCAGTTCTGGTTCGACCTTATGAAAACTTCGCAATGTGAAAATCTCAACATTGCATCGCATTGTCCAAGCCTGTGGCTTATCAAATACAGGCATTTCAAATGTGCCGAGATTACGCAAAGAAGTGAACGTTCTGTCCAGCTGCCTTCGTCATGACCCTGAGCAATCAAGAAGGAATTAGCAAAAACACCCAAATTGTTTGTCTCCTCTGATTAAAAACCCATGTGCTTTGCAAATGCAGTGCATACTATGAGGTAAATGGATGAGCCCTTTCCCAACACCCAATGTGAAGCTGCCAAAATATTTGTTGGCTGCAACCAACGTCACATTGGTGTCTTCATTGCTGTCAGGAATGATCTATCCGCCGCTGGTTTGAGGCCTCCCTAAGCTATCACCATCTCTCACGGTCTCGCGATATGGCCAATCCGTCCACACTCCGGTACGTGAACCGATCTCATTGCACCCTCCACCACGGCGCGTCTCCTCATTGGCGAGGCGTTCCTTTCTTTTGGCTGCCACTTTGTAGTTCGTTTCAACCACGGCCGTTTTAGCGACGTGACTGGACCAAGCCACTTCACGTTTCTTAACAGTTTAAATGACGTCATGAACCTGTGTATGCTCGCTGATGCATGTGATCCTCTTTCCGTCTCTGAGTTTAACTACCTTAAATAAATACTTCTATCCATTGGCATTCCAATGTAAATAATAATCTTTTTTATGATTCACTAGAGCATACATCCTCTCTTGTTTTGCATCTCTTGGACGTATTTTTGTGGATATATGTACTCTGCAAATGTAACTTGTTGAATCCAGATTAGATTGTTAAACCTAAATGTATCATGCTCTGCATGCTGATCTTATTCTGTGTGTTTGCTTATGCTGGAGGTAAAATTATGATGCCGTTTTCAATTATTAATGGACAAAATATAATAATTTCAGTATAAAAAAATGTGCGTGTCATGCCTAACACAAATTTGTCGATCACATGTCATTGATTGTATTTGTTATGTTTACGTAAAAGGGTATGTGCCTATCCTACTTGGAATTGCACTGATGGTACAAAACAATGGAAATCGTGGATTAGAGAACACACGAAAGTCAGAGCCGTCACATTTGACTGTGCAGAATAAGACATCGGGCTTGGGCAGGACGCGTTGCTGAAGGCTTGATGGCCCGTGGTCAAAAATAATAACCGACTATCAGACAAGGGATCGTTAAACTGAGAGATGGTGATGGCTAAACAGGTTGGTGATAATGAAACCAGAAAGAAATTCGCACGTCACATATCCCTGACATATATTCTGACTTTCTTTCAATAAAAAAAATCTCAATTCATGAACCCGAAGAAAAATTAGTCAAATAAAGACGTCAAAATAACATCTTCAGGCATTGCACATTACGTGTAGCTCCCAAAAATACATTCCGACCACGAACCCTATTTGAAACACAGACAAACGACGGCACATGCACGTGTGCATGTGCGTCCGCGGCTCTGGCGTTAACATCAGAGTGTGCCTAACACAAACGTCGCCGTACTACATTTACACCTCCAGGTGGTGTTTCCTGCCACAGCCAACGTCCAGCGTGACGGACGCATGTCATGCTGGAAGCAGCGAGAGTACGTACTTGCATAGGCGGGTGATGCACTCCGAGTTGGCGCGGCAGGCGAATCCTTTGGGCTTCCATTGGAACACTGAACGCCACAGCGGGGTCAGGCGCTTCTGCCGATGGACCAGCTCCAAGCCGCCTTGCACGGGTGCCCCTTGCCCCTGAATCACGGAGCGTGGCGCAGAGGCGCAGAGGGCATTTTAACGGGTGAAGGGTAGACGCGGTACAGACCGCGCGTTGTGTTTATGGGTTGCTCCTTCAAGGAGTGAATTGAGCTCCCGAGGAAGCTCCCGGCTTCCGGCACGTGGAGCAAAACGTCAGGCGTCGCGCCCAACGACACGTGGGACAACCCGAAAAAAACATTGGAGCTTACGCCATATGTGTGTGTGCTCATATTCTTGGGTGTTTTGGTAAAGTCACGTAGATAGATTCAAAGAAAATAATTAAACATAACAGAAAGCTACTGCGTTGCGATCAAAATGTCGTAGTTTTCTGTTATTTTTTCATTATTTTCTTTGAATCTATCTACGTGACTTTACCGAAAGACTCAATAATATGAATTCCTGCAGTCACGAAAGCTTTAAGTCAATATGTGTGCTCGTTTTTGGCAATACACGCAGAGCAATGATATAGGATGCAATGTTCGGTATATGTACATTGTGTTATTTGTCAATTTGTTCGGTTTCATTAGCAAAATATAGACATCACAAGATGAAAAAATTAATGGAAGATGGAAATGACTTGCAGAGGCCAGCAGTAAATAGGTCACGACTCATAATGCTGATAATGTCACTTAGTTTACAAGAATATTATTGCTTAATTAGAGCACCGACCATAACATCGACGCAAATTATTTAAGCATCTTGTTCCAAAAACGTTTTTTTTTTGCGCCTTAGCTATTTCACTGATTTCAGCAGCGAGTTGTCACCAAAAAATACCAATACAGTTTAATTTATTTTTGGAGTATAACATCATATGTTCGTTTAAACAAATACACAACACCTAGAATCAAATTAAAAAATGTTTAAACTGAGATTTGTCTCCTAAAAATAATAATTTTAATCCATCAGCCAATTAACTAAACGTTTCATAACAGCATTTGTCTAAGCAGACACATTCTGGACTAGTTTTGACCTTCTGGGTCTCATCAGCAGTGCCAGGCTTCTAAAACCAATTGTTGTATTATCAGAGGAAGTGGATTAAATACATTTATAACAAAAAAATTTAATATTTTGACTACCTATTTATTTCATAGTTTTAAGAAGTGTATTCAGTTTTGGTGAAGGATGTATAAAAACATTTTTTTATGAAATCTCAACAATTATTTTACCACTGTTCCTAAATTATTTATTCAAATAGAAAAAGAACAATGATTGACGAAGTATTTGGAAATTAGACGAAAGAAAGTATGTGGAAATCAGCATGGTGGCCGCGACAAGTGTTTTAACAGTGGATCTAATTACTTCAACTTTGAAATGTACCCTCACACACACTGTTTTGGTTATGGCAATATTTACACATTTAATGCATATTTGGGGGGTGGCATGTGGCAGCTATCAATTCGTTAAACACATGTTATGCTTTTTCACATGTCTGTTTGGCATGTCTTTATACAACAACAAAAAATCTGTGTTTTAACATTTTCGCCAATTTGCTGTTTGCATTTCGCACCTCCCATTAGCACGGTTGGCTACGTACCCTGCGAAATAATTACAGCATACAGCAATTATCTAAATCTCGTTAATTTCTCTCAACATAACATATTAGAGCGCAGTTATCGCTCATATATTATGAAATCTTGCGTAAAAACACATGCACGAGCTTAAATAAAATGTAAAAAAAAATGTTAAAACAAGCAGCGTGTTTCTTCACAAGTCGACACAATCTGCAACGATTCGTAGATGAATTTGCACGCGCGCAAAACTTGGCCGCGTGCATTTTTTTTTTTAACCACTGCACTCTCCTGACCTCGGCATTGGGGTGCTTAACAAGGCAGCAGCACACCACGTGGATTGCCATCGATGTGTTCATATTTGGACATGGGTAACGATACAGAATGGACTGGTGCCAAATCTCAGGCACACCACTCGCGGCTGCTGCAATCCACCCTCGAGATTTCACACTTCTCTGGCATTGCATATCCCTGCGGCAGCAAACATCAGACGATGTAATGAAACACGTTTCTATCTCTTAAGTTAGTTAAGAGAGAGGGGGACGGGAGAGAGGCACTCCACTGGACATTTTCCGCTGTGGCAGCTTGATAAAACAGTAGCACTTTTAACAAGTCGCAGATGTCATTGTGCTTTTTGTAATGGAACGGGTATGAAAATGAGAGTGATGACCACCGGGGAGATGGAACGATGAAATTAGATCGTGTGAACGGTGCTCTATGGGCTTTATCGCATCGCAGGTTAAGGAGGCCTTCATCCAGCAGTCGATTGACCATGGCTGCTGCTGCTGCTGCTGATAATGATGATAATTCTAGATAAGTCTATAGCAGTGGTTCTTAACCTTTGCTGCAGCCTTGCACCCCTTTGGTTTCCAATCTTTAAAACATGAAAAATCTTCTTGGTTCTTTCGGTAAAGTCACGTAGAAGGAAAATAATTAAATAATAAAAATACAATTCTCACGACGTTTCGGCCACAACGCAAGCAGCCGTCCTCAGGTGAAGAACAGGTCTGTCGGAAAGACGCTGTCTTGAGAATTGTATTTTATTATGTTTTATTTTTATTATTTTATTATTTCCCTTCTACGTGACTTTACCGAAAGAACCAAGAAGATGAATTCCTGCAGTCACGAAAGCTTTACATCGAAACATGGAAAATGTTAATAACTTACATAGGTTTAATTAAACAAAGTAATTGTACTTACGTGCCCGTGCTAAATTTGTGTTTCGATGATTTACCTTCTCAAAGAAATCTGGCCGTGTCTCGCACCCCCCCCCCAGAAAGGGCATCTCGCACCCTATGGGTTGTGCTCAGACCCACACCGGTCTAGAGAAATCCATTACCTTGGAGAAACCCTGGTGTCACGCACCGTGCACCGACAGACACGGGCAGGATACGCGAGCGTGTCCACCCCGAAGACGACTCACCTCCATATTGATCAGCAGGAAGAGGACGAGCGAGAGGGCGAGCGTGCGCGTCACTGCGGCGTGCATGGTGCCTGGCTTTGAGGGTCTGCAGCGGTTCGGGACTTGCTTGACGGACTGACGATTCTGCCCGTTCAGACACAGAGCACGCGGGGAAGTGGCGCTTAGTGCAATTCTGCAAACCCGGTGGTGCCCGGTATATATAATGCATCCCAGAGGTTGGTGATAGGGCTGGGGGTGGACTTGGGGTCTTGTTTCAATTGGAGGGTGGGGTGCGGGGGGGACAGCAGTGGGGGTGACCACGGTGGGATGGAGTGGGGTGGGATGGAGTGGGGTGGGTGGGTGGGTGGCTCAACCTTGAAACGTCACACTAAAAGCGTACCCAGATAATGTGTAATTGCCCAATATAACCTTATTGGACCTACCAGAAATGATTCTGCTGTAAAGTAAGCCCTCTCGATCTATCGATAAAGCTGCTTGGAATAGAGTTTGGCAGGAAAAAAAGCACGTTTTACCTTCGTGTGAACCGAGGAGAAACCTAAAACTTGCGAAAGTCTATGGGTGGTAACCGAGATTATTTCTAAAAAAATAAAAAAAACCTTTAACAGTTTTTTCCCCTTCACAAGCCTGCAATGTCCTGTTAATGAAGCGGTCCAGACGTCTCGCTCTCTCCACGGTTTGGAGAGATTAAAATTGGGGAACCAAATGCATACTTTGCGAGCAGTGCTTACAAACAGAAAGAGCTGTTAAGGAACGTTCCACCAGGCATGTCCTCACAACGCCGAACGCGCGAGGTGGCACTTGGAAATAATAAAATAATAAAAATAAAACATAATAAAAAAATTCTCACGACGTTACGGCCACAACGCAAGCAGCCGTCCTCAGGTGAAGAACAGGTCTGTCGGAAAGACAGCGTCTGAATGGTCCCTGTTTCTGCCCTGCAACGTTTCCGCAGAGAGGAAGCCGCAGACTGCTGCTCGACCAACAGATTTCACGCCGGAGACTTTCCACACTTCCAGTCTGACCACCGTTTGCGCGCATCTATGGCATTTCTTGAACTCTTTGCCCTATAGGTGGGGAAAGGCGATAATATATAGGCTTTCGCAACCAATATTATTCATAATCAACGTTCTGGCGAATTGCCCGATGATGCTGGATGCAATTACCAGCGAAACGTCGTACTACTCAAATTGTAAATGTTGTGGTTTCACGCTTCAACACACCGGTGGGCTAAAGCAGTGAACTGTTAGTCTTTTGTCAACGTGACACTTTTTTTACTGATTGGCCGTGTCGGGTGGTGGAGGGTTACGACACATTTATAAATAACGCGATCTAAACCCAAAAACGTTGATTATGAATGCGATAATATATATGTATGTTGAACTTCTTTTGCACCTTACATAGCCAACCGTGCTAAACGGAGGTGCGGGTGAAGGACAACAAATTAAACAGAAAAAGCAGTTCTCAAGAAATGATTCTAGATTTGAAGCTTTCGTGACTGCAAGGATTCATACTCTTAGGGTTTTTTCGGTAAAGTCACGTAGGTAAAAAAAATAACAATAAATCACGACGTTTCGGAGGCAACACAAGTTGACGGACGGAGACTTGTGTTGAAGACGGAGACTTGTGTTGCCTCCGAAACGTCGTGATTTATTATAATTTTATTTTATTATTATTTTTTCCCTACGTGACTTACCGTAAAAAACCTAGGAGTATGAATCTCAAGAAATGAGTTTTAAATGCATTTTTGAAAGCAGTTGTTTCTTGCTGTGGTTGTCCCACCTGATGACTGACGCTTGTGTTGAGCCCGAAACGTCGTGATATAATTTATTTTATTTTATACCTACGTGATTTTACCGAAAGAACCAGAGAGTATGCACAGCAAATGTATTGCTAACATGTACGATGCTTGTTAAACGATCAAACGTAATGATATACATTGCTATGCAAACAATCCTATTACTGTTACTAGAAGATTTAGGGCCCTCATCTCCTAGGTCATGGGGAGGACTAAGCTTAGGTACTTACTTATATGTAAAAGTAAAAAATGTACAATAACTATCAGGAATATGTTTTATTTAATTTCAAAAGCAACGTAATAATTTTACTAAATCACTTTTCGACCACGTTATCCGCGTATTTCCCATCCTTGTCCGGATACGAAGCCTTCTTTGAGCTACTAAAGCTTGCTGGTTTTGCTGGATCCAACGCATGAGTTTGCCACGTGCAATATTGGCCTTGACTAAAATATGCCCCAAGGGAGGAAGACAAAAATTTCCTCCACTGTTTGTCCGATGCTTTTGTTGGCGGTGACTCCAAAAGCGAGACGAATTGGAAATTGTTTCCGTGTAATCGAAAATGGAAATGTGTTTTCAGCTGAAGCCAGAGGAATCTGAGGGATAATGAGTTTTTTTGTAATGGGATCTACTTTCAATCATGTCTTCGATAATGTGATTGTTCATTGGAAACATGACATCGCGTGTTCCATTGTTCGAATCAAAATCCAAAATGAGCATAATACAGGAGCCAACCTTCAGTTTTGATCAAGTGAGGTGGAAATCGAGATGGGTTGAGCCGGTTGATGAATTCAATATGATCGATGTATTCAATGTACTGCTCTATTTTGACTTTTGTAGGCTCGTTGTTCACCAGGAAAATGGTACATCTCCATTGCCTTTATTGAATGAACAGCGTTGTTTATAGGAGCAATGACGGCATGGTTTGCAAACCATTTAGCATCATTGAAGTTATCCTTTAGGCCATCAAAGACGAAATCACTGCGATCACTGATGGAGGTAGGTTTTCATTTGGAATTTGAGTTTTGAATTGGCCAAGTAAATGTAACCACGGATGCCTCTCCATTTTTCTCGTACCTCCACTTGCATTGAGGCCAAAGACTTTGCCTTGTTCTGATGCAATTACTTCCATGATGTGGCCATACACTTATCCTTGTTTGTGATTGAGAGTGGGCAACTTTCTTTGAATATGGGCCTCAAGTTCAGCTTCATAAAAATGGTTTTCTTCCCGGATTAATCTTTGAACTTCAGCTTGCCTCACAACTTTTGGTATCAGGTATAGGTGTAGTGACATAAGAAGGGAGGGGCTGCTGGGGGCTCTGGGACCCTGGGCGGGCCAGGCGCTGAAGCCTCTTGGCGCCATGCGCTGGGTTCCCAGGCGGGGCAGACGCTTAAGCCTCTTGGCACCAGGCGTTGGGTTCTCGGGTGGCCCAGGCGCTTAAGCCGCTTGGCGCCGCCAAAGGGGGGGGGGGGGGCTGTGTGTGCTCTGTGGGATATCTGGGGGCGCACACGGCCCCACCCCTCGTTGGGGACTAGGCATAAAAGGGGAGCTCCCTGGACGATCAGGGCCAGTTGTAGCTCAAGACCCAAGACCCAAGACCAGCCATCTCAGGACCCTGGGACGCTGCGAAAGCCAGTGGTGGGACTCTGGAACTCCTGACTCTACGACCTTGTGAGGGCGAGTTCCAGAGCGTAGCCAGAGTAGTGTATCTAAGCTGTGTATCTAGGCTGTGTACCTAGGCTGTAACAGAGTATCAGGACTGTTGGAGAGTTGGACTGTTGGAGAGTTGGAGTGTTGGAGAGTTGGAGAGTTGGAGTGTTGTTGGATTGTACAAGTGTCTCCGGAACCCGTTACATAGGCAAGGAGAAGTTTGCATTCAGATCGAGACCCTCTCGTCCCACTCTCTCTTGAAGATGGAGAAGCACCGTATGTTCAATGGGTGGAGTGAATGAATTAGTTTTGTTGTTGTGCATCAAGGCTTTTCCAAGTTTGTACTTCCATTTGTTCCCAAAGATCAATGGTTCAGCCGGAGTGCAGTAGAGGAGGAGAGTGGAAAATACATCACGTAGTTGAGGCCCAAATCTGATGGCATTGGCTTCTTCCATTACTCGATCCTTTTCATTACCATCCTCAATAAGTCAGAGTTTCACAAAGGCTACTTGAAAGGTTTCACACTGTTCTCCGTAAATCTCGTGTCGTAAATCGATTGATCGTAAATCGATCAATGCATTGCGCGCTTTCAGATGCACTTCTGAGGCCGTGTGGAATGCTCTTCCTTCCGACATTAGGAAGCCACTGGAGCTACATCACTTTTAAATCTAATTTCTTGATAACTGATTATTGAGTTTAGTTTGTTGTTATTCCCCCTCACCTCCAATTAGCACGGTTGGCTATGTACTGTGCGAAAGAAGTAAAATATATATACATACATAAACACGTCATAAATGTGAGTCGCAAATCGGACTATCATAAACTGCATGTAATGTTTCCCAATTTTTTTATCAACACTTTTCCTGACATTTAAAACGACATTAAATCGATACTTATTTGAATGATAATGTTTTACAATTGTTACGCGATCAAAAATGGGCTTTCGAAAAGATCCGGACGGACGGAGTAACAAACGCAGACCTGCTCCATTGTAGTGTGATGATAAGGCTCATACCACAACAATGCAATGCTAGAAATAAGTTTTAGACTCACGAAAGCATTCGCTAAACAAAAGCAGCAAATATTTTATGGTTTTCCGTATAGAATGTGACAATTAGTGTCATATTTTTAATGTAGTTCACTTTTCTCCGAATTTATGGATATTAAAATATATCAATCGAGCCTGTGCTGTTGTATCTATAATAATGGCGTAGTATTAGGAAGATTATTTTGGAATTGCTATGCATTGGATGGTATTGGATCGTAAAAATACAACCCCTTTGTCAATCCACTGCTGGATGAGGGTTGGGTGTTTAGATCATACTTCACCAAACTGGTCAGTGCAAGTTGGTGAATGTGGCGAGCATAGAAGTACAGCACAGCAATTGACTGCTGAACAACCTTCTGATGCCCACCACGTCGCCTCTAACTACCTGTTTGTGCATGGCGGTTACCCATCCAATCACTATGTGGGCTCAAGCCTGCTTGGCTACCGAGATCTGACGAAATCAGGTGCTTTCCTGCTGGTTAAATTGTCGGCATTTCTTCGTCTTGCTTGTTTTCATTATTCATGATATAATGAATTTCTTTCCTTTGAAATCTCGCTGATGGGTGAAGGCTCCACACACGGTGTTGGTATTGGTTGGTTTGTTTAACCATACTTCACAACGCTCTTGTGTTTTTTTTAGGTCATGTATCATCACCATGCTGCTCCCTTC